ACGTTGCCCCCTTCTGAAGATGGGGCATCGTTGCATCTTACAATAGACAGGGAGTATTGTGATGCAAGAAAAACAAATGCTAAAAGAGTAGTTAGATCGATGTTAACTCAGAGACAAAAATAGTGAGGGGCAAGAGAAGGAATGTGGCAGAAAATCAATCAGTTTCTTTAAAGGAACACTTTGATATCAGAAATACAAACTATACTTCGATTCAAATTGCAATTCAGCTGAACCACTTAATCCAAAAAAAATTAAAACATTTCAGGATTGCAATTTGAAAAACCAAATCAGATGAAAGAGTTCAAAAATATGCCAATTACTGTACTGTAAAATATTTACATGATATAAATATTATGTATATAATTTGAAGTACTTTAATAGGAACATAGTCTCACCATTTGGTTCATAAATCAAGTAAGAAAAAGAAACCAATAGAGGGGAAATGGAGAAGGAGCAGTAAAAAAAATAAAAAAAATCTAAATTAATATAGATATTTTTTTACCGCTCCTCCATTTTCTGTCTCTCTATTGGCCACCTGTCACTTGAAAAGTAAATAAAATCAATATTTAGTGGCTGTCCTCTAGCCATCAATCATCTCTTTTTTTTTTGGGCAGAACTCTGAATCACGAATAAAACAAACACTCTCGTCCATTGCTTTCATATTAAGACTACATGGCGGTTTGTAAATCGGAAATTCAGATGATCAGCCAGTTGCAGTTCATAACGAAATGAATCTCCAAGGCTAATACAAATATATATTTCTGATGTCGGAGTATTTTTTTGCCGAAAGGGCACCAGTGAAACTTAAATAAATAATTTATAGCCATTTTTCATCAATCTACTTCCTTCCACGTGCTGGCCTTATCACTGCTTCATTTCTTCTCCGGCTGAGATCATCAGTGACAAATGCCCATAAGTGGCAATTGCTACTCTGCGCCAATCAGCATCTCCTGTTAGAGATGCATTAGCTCAATGTATCTCTATAGGGAGCATCTAGCATCGTTATGCAGAGCGGAAAAACTACTACAGCTCAATGTAGTGGTTATGGTCTTGTTGTTGAAAAGACTGCAACAAGAAGCCCCGCTAGAGACTGTTTGTGTGAGGCAGAGTGGCTGTCTGAGTGGTGACTTTTAAGGCAGTGTTTACAATTGTCTACAGGGGTACTCTCTATACACCATAACCACTACTAGAGCTGTAGTAGTTAGGTAGTTTGGTAGTTAGAGTTATAGAAAGAGAAAAATTATTGTGGAACAAATGAATATGAAGGGGGGAAAAATAATGGAGTGTGAGGAAAAAAAAATAAAACAGAGAGAGTTCCACATTTTAAATATAACTATATCCACAAATGTAAAACAGGTGACTTTTTTTTTCTTTTTTTTATAAATGTCTGAGACTTTTCTATACAATACCTGATCTATTTAATATTAAAAATGTGGTAATTGTCAGTCTATTTTCCAAGAAAAGTGTGGTCTTTTAATAAAGGCAAATTTCACAGTACATTTCAAGCAATAGATTTCTTTTGTTTTTTTAATTTTTAGGCAGGAAATTGCTACCATTCATTTATGAAGTAACCTACAATTTGAAAATTTGCAGAAACGTAGGGTTAGGATCTTTGGATATATCGTTAAGAAGAAACAGAAAAAAGCAAAAGAAACAGAAGACTATATTAGTAAAGATTAATGATACCAAATAAAAAAAGTAATAAAAAATAACTTGAAAGTACAATATGATGAAAAAGGTAAATATAGATAAGAAAAGTTAAGTTGAGGTCTTTTCTCTAAACAGCGCTGTGGTTGAGAAACAACCTTCGTAATGTATAACATAATAGCACAGATAGGGAAAACATTAATATCTGGACCTGCTGAATTGAACAGTTTTCCATCTTTTAATGCATTTTATGCTAAATCCAAGAAATCATCACAAATCGCTAATTAGTGGCTAGACCAGACTTTGTGGTCTCCCCTGATGCTTTGCCAGCATTATGACTGTACGTGCATTGTGGGAGATGTAGTCCACAATATCGGGAGTGCCAAAGACCGCCTACCCCTGGCTTAGACAGAGTTAGCACCAAGTAAAATCAGATGCAAAAAAAAAAAATACCCATCAATGAATAAGGAAAGACTGAGCAATGATGTATTAAGATCAGGAAAGGAAACAGGTAATTTTTTTAAATGCAGTGCCTGATGTTAACCTTTTGATCAACACAAATAAAATGCAACATGTTGCTCAGTAACGCTTTGCACGTGTCTGCAGATGTCACAGAGTATGTGGGGAGTCCAGAGAGATGTGCATGTGGGATTTATAGAGCCTACGTTAATGAAGCAATAAAACTACTCTGTGTTGCGCAGGAGGTGAAAATGGTACGATGGAAAAATCTGTCCCACCGGCACAGTGCCAGTTACAGGGCGCCGTCAATTTTATTTATCAAGGACTTGCTATTGTATAGTAAACAGTTGTTCATTAGATTTTAAGGAAATGAAATTTCTTTACTATTTTGAAAGCTTCGGGATGAGGTGGTTAATACCAAATTATCAGGGGATCTTAGAAAGTAATATTCAGCTATGGCTTTGAATTAGTGCAGGTGAGCGATGTGGTGAGAATTAAATAAATGTTTTTTCGAATCAGTGTTTTTTTTTTTACTGTAACAGTTTCTACAGCCTTCTGACAAAAGATAACAGTGATGAAAGATTTAGTGTTCAAGTCCAAAACACATTGAGACAGACCTGCCAATATGTGATCTAAAAGTGATTTAATTCATACAAGGTCTTCGTGGTTCACTAATGAATATGCCGCAATAAAGTAAGCATGGACAAACACTGCCAAGTGCCTAAATCTTCTCTGGGTTTAGAGATATAAAGTACTTTTGCAGGTCAGGAGACTTCCCAAAGTGAGCCATCTGTAATTTGTATCTATAAAGGAGTCACAGTGACCTATTAAAGGTACAAAACGTCAATTCAAAAGCACAAAGTATAAGAATATCTTTAGAATACTTATTATTGTAGTCCTTTTGTAGTTTGATAAAATGATACCCATTTTTTCATAGGTTAGAAAATATAAGGGCACAAATGAAACGTTTTTGAGAATAAAGCTTGTGTAACGCGGGTTCCATTACACCTGCTCTGTATATAATTTATGGTCTCAATAAGCTTAGACTATTGATGTTTGCCACTCATTTCAACCACACTAGCTCCTGGGATCTGTGAAAACATTTTATTCCTTAACCCCCTTCATGACACATGATGTCCAAGGGCCATTGTGATATAAGTGGACTTGACTGACACATGGTAATAAATGGGTTAAAAATACTTCTTCACTATAGATCATTCTAGACAAGTAGGAAATATAAATACTAGATTTGTTATAGTCTATTCTATGGAGATGGTACCTCTTTCTGGACGAAAGACCAATCTCTGGCTATCATGGAGGTTGTACGATAAGAATCTATTCTGCTAAAATATTTGTAGATACATTGGGCTTGTCTTGTGCTGGTTCCACGAAAAAAGACCAAAACTTCTGATTCTATTCTATGAAGCCATTTTTATTATCTTCAATCAGCTGGTTGAGTATAGCAAGTACAGTATGAAAATTGCTGTTTATTCTTATTCAACAAACTAGGAACTGTGGAAATAATGCAACTACAATGTCAAAGCTATACTAATTAAAGGGACTCTTTTGACATGGCTAAAGTTTCAGGAGTCCCCTGGTGCCATTCTTCAATCAGTGCTAAACTGCTGCTTGGGCTATGAGGAAGAATTAACCTTGAACAGCAATGGATATCTGTGATTGGCTGAGAGTGTCAGCTTACTGCTTTTAGTCTATCAGAGCACCCATTTAGGTATGATTTGGTATGGCTTGAAGGAAGTGTGTAATCTTTTTCTTAGCCTTACCTCCAGTAGGAGCATGGCTATGGGAAGCAAAGTTCTCTTATTCAGTGTTAAGCTGCTTGCAAATGTTTTAACACTGAATGGTGGGACAGTGTCTGGGGACTCCAGGCACTATAACCACTTAAATTAGATAAAATAGTTATAGTACCTACAGTGTCCCTTTAAGGTGGAAAAATAGATCAGTTGGGATTTTCTTTTAATATAATTGGGATATTTGGCCCCACATTTGCAGTTCCCAAAATTCTTATGATTCCTAATTTTATGGCAGGACAGGAGGCTTAATATTTGCTTTACCTTCTTTACTGAAAACCTCCAGCAGCAAAGAAATAGTTAACAGAACTTTTCCAAACAACCAATCAGAACAATAGTAACAGCAGTACTAAATCCCTGAGTCAGACCCTCCCACTACCTCTTTCTTTGCTGCTGCCTCCAGGTGAGCACTGTCCAACTCAGAAAGTGTGTCTGTTCTGGGTTATTTATGTTATTTTCATTTTATTTTAACTGTTAATTTTGTTTCATTAATATTAGAGCCACTGTTTAGTGTGTGCCCTCTTGATTTATGTGGGGATCTGGGTTCTGGGGATTGTAGGACCTTTTTCTCTGGGCTTTCCCCCATCTGCCCTTGCGCAGCCCACAATTGCGGCACCCTCTTGGGCTTCACCACGCTTCCCCTCCCAGTTTACCAGCCTCCTAGCCCCCTCTTGCACATCACGGTGGCCATTTTGTTGGAGCCGCGGCAATCTTTGTTCTTGTCACCGCGTGCGCGCCCACATGTTCCGGGCGGCCTGGACCTCTGGTTCCTCACCACCCGATCCCCCCACGTGCTGGTGACCCCCCCCTACAGCATATACTATATTACTGGCCAAAGCCCAGTCACTATTATTGCCCTCTACTGGGCCCTATTGTGGTGTCTGTGTCACACTACTGCATTGCTGGATCTCTACCCGGTTATAACAATATTAAGAGTGACACCCTCTCCAACTGGCCTATGTTGCATGGTATGCGTGTGCTTGCTAGGTGACCACCAGCTGGCCTCAGTCTGCACACTGGGTGACCCCCAGCTGGCCTCATCAGGTACCACACTTACAGTGTTCTACTTCTATTGCACTGTTACAGTCATGACTGATGAAACAGAGTTCCATACCCCTGAAGGCCTCCAGGACTGGCTTCGTGCTGCCATAGCGGACTCACTACCCAAAGCCCTTGCGGTCTTCCAGGGTGATGCCCTACTGGCAATCCAGGACCCTACACCTGGCTCCTCTGGGGCTCAGGGATCCGACTTGGACGACTCCAATGGATTCTGCCCGCAAGAAGCCTTGGGAAGGTTGGGGCACTCCCACAGGGAAAGAAGAATTGTCCAGGATGACCTCCGGCCCAGGTGGACACCCAGTGGATAACACGTAAGATGTACTGGATGAGTACCGGACCGGCAGCTCTGGCGCCACTTCCCCCAGCAGGGGGTTTCTCAGCAGCCACTCACGTTTTGTGAAGGAGATGGTTCTGGGCTCCCACAAGATTGATTGCCATAGAGATACGTCAACCACCACCAAATCCCCAGGGAGATTCTGGACCATTCCGGCCGCCCTCTCTTCGATCAAACATTCTCGATCCTCGGAATAGGTCCCTCTGGACCACATTACAGAATTCCTGCGCTACTGGCCCAGCTGCCCCTTAGATAAGCTTCGGGCAGGATGCCGCCGCCTAACACTACCAGACAAAGTGGCCCTCACCCCCGACTTGTTTTGTGTTTACCACTTTTATGACCAAGTGTGGGAAAGACCCTCACAAGGGTCTGGAGCAGGGCCTGCACTCGGCCCAAGACAAATTATTGGACGTCAGCAGCCCTCTGACGCAAATATTCCTCATGGAGGATGACGCACTACAAAGCAGAACCCCAGTGGATGCCGAACTCCTCAGAGAATGTGCCCAATGGCCATCTGCTTGTTAGACAACACCAATGCGGCACTATCCTCAGAATGCCGCAAAGCGGTCCTGTATAAATTGGACGGCAAGTTGGCAGACCTGGCCAAGGAACTGGATCCTGATGCCAAAGGCCTGTTATTTGGGGATGCCTTCATGAAGGAGCTGAACCGACACGTTGCTATATACACATCCCCTAACAAGGCACAGATGTTCCTCAAGAGGGTTTTCCGCTGTGGGGATCGTTTTTCCTCCAGGGCTGGTCGACAGAGGGGTCGTGCCACCAGCAGAGCCGCCTTCATGGGCAACAGACCCCGCCTCTCGGACTCCTCCTCCTCTTCCCGGTACCAATACTGCCCGTTGTTTTCCCGAGGAGCCCGTTGTTTTCCACAAGGGTAAGATATTCATCATTATTTGCCAAATGTAACCATTGCGGGCAGACTGTCTCCTTTTTCCCACAGTGGGTGGCTATCACACAGAACCTGTGGGTTCTGCAGAACGTGTCTGGATTCAGGATCAATTTCGTCGAATCACACGGACAGTTCAATGCCCCGTGACTGATTCGCATGCACAAAGAGGCGTCCAAACTAGTCCATTCAGAAATTATTTCACTGCGGGACAAGGGCTCAGTGGAGAGGGCGACAGGACCACCTCGGTTCTTGCGCAATAGCTTCTTTGTAAGGAAGAAGACGGGGGACTTCCCCCCCCCCGTCATCAGCCTGCGTATGTCGTCTACCGGCATATCCATCTACTCAGGGACCTGCTCTGCGAGGTTGATTGGTTCACTCGACTGGATCTAAAGGACGCCTACCTCATGGTTCCCATCCACTAAGAGGACAGGTGTTTCCTTCAATTCTCCTGGATGAATCACATCTGGCAATTCACGTGCTTACCCTTAGGCCTCAGCTCAACACTGCGGTGCTTCATCAAACTGCTGAAACCAGTCATGGCTGCCCTGGGAGCCAAGGGGATCAGATTGATCATCTAGACGATATTCTGTTGATGGCACAGGACCCTGACGTCCTGCGCTGGCAGATGTCGTTCACGATCCATCTGCTTCAGGACCTGGGATTCATCATCAATGTGGACCCTTCCAGGTCTGTTCAATTTCTGGGCTTCATGGTGAATTCAGTTCAGGCGGTACTTCGTCTTGCGACATCCAAGGTGATCACTATCAGGAAGGACATCAGACAACTGCTGCACAACCCGAGGGTCACGCTAAGGGACCTGGCCCGAACGATAGGCCTGCTGTCATCATCCATTCAAGCCATCTTCCCAGGACTGCTGCACCATCGAGCACTACAACGCCTCAAGGCTCGCTATCTTCGACATATGGAGGCCTGGACCGGCATGGCGATTTTCGGATCTCAACCAGACTTCGTCCTAGAATCAGACGCCACCTGTATGGGCTGGGGCGCTTCCTGTGATGGGGTGGCAATGGGGGGATTTTGGATGCCAGAGGAGAGAGCTCTTCACATCAACTGCCTGGAACTGATCACAGGCTCATTCGCAGCTTAACCAAGGGGATGAGTCACTGCTCACTGCTGCACCGCATGGACAATGTTTCAGCGGTCTGCTACATAAACCAATTGGAAGGTTCCCATTCCAAACTACTGTCGGACCTCACAAAGGATCTCTACCAGTACTGTCTGGACAAAAATCTGCCACTCATGGCAGAATATCTCCCAGAACAGGACAATTTAGTAGCAGATTGGTTCTACCGGTACTGGAGAGACGCAAGCAATTGGCAACTCCACCCTCCGGTGTTTCGATTACTGAACTCGCTTTCAGGGCTATTTCACCTGGACCTGTTCGCATCCAGGGTGAACCGTCAGATGGAGAGATTCTTCAGTTGGCTCCCGGGCCCCCTCAGCACAGTGGTGGACGCTTTCTTCCAAGACTGGCATTGCTCGCGGGCGTATGCATTTCCCCCTTCTTCATAAGAGGAGTCAACCGTGGTTCCCTCTCTTACTGGAATTGTCGTGCGAAGACCCTCTAATACTCCCGGGCTCCAGGTCTCTCCTGCTGGATCCACTAGGGAATCCACGTCCATTAATATTAGAGGATCGCCTACCGCTTGTGGCTTGGACCATTTCCAGAGTTCCTGGGATTTGTCAGGCCTATCGACAGTGGCTAGAGAACTGCTCTGGGATTCATGGGCACCTAGCACCAGATGATCATATCTGCACGCATGGAGATCCTGGCATAGCTGGTGTCTGGAGAGACATTTGGGTCCCTTTATGCCCCCTATCATAACAGTCATGAACTTCCTGGCTGAATTATTTTCTCGGGGTAAGTCATATAGGACCATTAACGTTTTTTGGTCAGCCATCTCAGCGGCTCATATCCCTTCTCAGGGCCCCTTGGTCTGCAGATTGTATTGGTTGTTTTGTAGTTCCTTAAGGATTGGCCTGATAATGAGGATTTGTAAAGTTCAAGTCACTGTTCAGAATCATTGTGTTAGACAATAGCAGTAAATGGATCCACCACCAAAAGGAGAGTTGAAATACCAACCCACCAGTTTGCTTATTTCCACAAAGCTTAATGAAGCATATATAGTATGTGCTAGTTAAATAAAAAAAAAAAAGATTAAGAAAAAATTAACACACATATCAACTTGTGCATTTATAGTCTGCGTGGACATTCTGGGTATATTAAGGAGAAAATATGCAATTTTTTTTTACCTTATTTAGAAATGAATTGCCTCTGGATACAGCTGATATTACTTGTATCTCAGCGGCTATAGTAGAAATGACTTATAAACCTAAGCTTTGTTCACATTCCTCTTTGTTTTGGATGTAGTCTGAATGACTAACATCTTGGATTCACTTCCAGACCAACAAAACATTGCAGTTTAATGGTCACAGTGTCAGTGAATTTGTTATCTACATAAATTGAAATAACCAGTTGCTTTTCAAGGTTATGTAGTGGTGAAAATAAAACATTCCTTTGGTGCATTGGTGAATGATTCTTTGACTGGGTAGCAATCAGAACTTAGAACACTGAGTAACCACACGAAATGGCAACTTAATTGAGTGCTCCTAGGTGGCCGCCATTCGGCATACGAACACGTGGCGAGAACAAAGGATGGCGGCCATCTTAAATCTCCCGAATGCGGCCAGCGGGACTTACTCATGGATTGCCTGGAACTGTTTTCGGCATGGCAATCACACAAATGCCCGGTCATTATGGAAGTCCCGTCTGACCTCTTTCCACCCATAGTATCAAACCAGCGTTCGGAAGTTTTAATCTATCGAACGAGGGGAACACTCTCATGTAACCAGCTGCAACATATCTATGGTAGTTTTTGTGTAATTCTGCACAAACGGAGACCGGCTCTTACTACTGAGTTCATGGAACTCTAAATCAGATACCACCACATGGCGAGCCGGTCAAACTTCCACACGATGCGACACGGAAACTACCGAACGTATTTTCGTGCAATTTGGATATGTGACTCCCAGTATACTCAACTACCCAGGGATGTTCTTATATTCATATGTCATGTAGAAAGTATATTTCTAAAAATTTTGAAAATTGTAATGTTTCTGGCCAGCAGATAATTGAGTTTAGTATGTTGCTGAAACTCAATTATCTAGCCTGGCCCAGAGGAGGAGTCTGTTACTGTATAAATTGAATGACTGTTGCTTCCAGTAAATCAGTCTTGTTCCAGCATTAAGCTTTGGCTCATGTGTGGATTATTTGGCGATACCAGCGTTATTTTACCCTGTGGATTATTGTGATTATTCTGCTAATGGGGAAAAAGGGAATACTAGACAGTGATACAGATTACTACCATCACATGTTCCCATGAGCATAAGAGACAAAAGCTTTCCATAAAGAAGTCCTGATTTACATTTCATTTGCATAAGATATTTTGTGATCCGCATTCTACTGTAAATACCTCTAATAGACATCATCAGTGGTGGACGGCTGGTATTTGTTTTTGTTCACTAGGAAAGGGATTCATATTTTTATTGCTCTTTATAAACTGAAGAATATTTTTTTTCTCAATAAACAGGCCTATGAGAAACTGAAGTAATTGTCTGGGCTTGAGAGTCTTTTAGTCGTATTTTGGGTTTGGGAAGTATATGGATACAAAGTAAAAGAAGATAACCCTGGTCCTGGCTCTCTACTGGCATACCATTTGCAAAAGTAGACAACCCAGGACATTCAAAATGGGGTATATCCAGTCTTTTTAAGGAGTAACAAACCCTGGCCAAAGTTAGTGTTCATAATTCCCAGATTTTACTATAAACATGATGTAAAGTCATCATTTTATCAATAACACGGAGGCGAGTATTATGTAATCTCTTACTTAATTTTCCCTCAGCAGCAAAAGAATGACAGAAATTTTTTTTGAACTCAAATAAATGTATACCTTTAACAAAAACTGCCTAGAAA